TATGCATTTATTTAGGGATAGAAGCGACGTAGCTGTTCGATGTTCTAGGCGTTGGTGAACACCTCGCCGTTGATGGTTTTTAGCTTGTAGGTGCCCGGGCGAAGTACTTCCGCGACGACGTAGGGCCCTTCCTAGGGCGGCGAGAGTTTGTGGCGGTGCTTGTTGCTCTGCACAAGGCGGAGGACGAGGTCCCCGATGTTGAAGGATCGACCCCGCACCCGCCGGTTGTGGTACCGTCGCAACGTCTGCTGGTACTTAGCTGAACGGAGGAGGGCGATGTCGTGGGCTTCATCTAGTTGGTCCATGGCGTCCTGGTGGGATGCCTCGGCCCCTTGTTCGTCATACGCTCTGATTTTTGGTGCTCCATAGTCAAGGTCCGTTGGGAGAACAGCCTTGGAACCGTAGACCATGAAGAAGGGTGTGTAGCTGGTGGCCTGGCTAGATGATGTCCTTAGGCTCTAGAGCACGGCCAAAATCTCGGTGAGCCAGCGCGCACCGAACTTGTTCAACCGGTTGAAGATTCTCGCGCGACCTTTTGGCGGCGTTTGGAGTCGTGAGCCGCTGATCCTCCGAAGATCATTAGGGCGTCGTTTGGAGTCGGGAAGGTGTCGTCCTTCTCCTCGACGTCGTCTGTACTGGGGGCAGGTTCCTTCCCCCGCTCCCCCTTGTTGAGGCTCCCGGACAAGTATTTGCGCATGAGGCCACATTCCTTGTATAGATGTTTAGCTAGGAAAGCGTGGTTTGGGCATGGCCCCTCGAGCATTTTTTCAAAGTGGTTCGGAGTGCCTTCCGCGGGCTTCCGGCCACCTTTACGGTCAGCGATGGCCACGAGCGAGTTGTCGCGCCGTTGCTTCTTATTCTTTCTCTTGGCAGGACGGTCGGAGGTGCCTTCATCGGCTGCCTCGTCCCGCCTTGCCTTGCCGTCGGTGCGGTCGAAGATGGCTCCGACCGCTTCTTCTCCTGAGGCGTGGCTGGTGGCGATGTCCAGGAGTTCCTTGGTGGTCTGCGGGCCCCTACGTCCCAGCTTGTGGACGAGGGATTCGCAGGTTGTCCCGGATAGGAAGGCTCCTATCACGTCGGCGTCGGCGACATTAGGGAGCTCATTGCACTGCTGGGAGAAGCGCCGGATGTACCCGCGGAGGGTTTCATTGGCCTTTTGGCGGTAGTTCTTGAGGTCCCATGGGTTTCCAGGACGTTTGTACGTGCCCTGGAAGTTACCCACAAAGATCTTCATGAGATCCGCCCAGCTTTGAATGGCGTTGGACGGTAGGTGCTCCAACCACGCTCGTGCCGAATCGGCTAAGAATAGCGGGAGATTGCGAATAATGAAGTTGTCATCACTCGCACCACCGGCCTGGCAGGCAAGCCGATAGTCTTCGAGCCAAAGCTCGGGGTTCGATTCTCCAGAATACTTTAGGATATTGGTGGGCGGTCGGTACCTCGGGGGGAACGCAGCGTTGAGGATGTGTCGGCTAAAGGCCCGAGGGCCTGGCAGGCTAGGGCTCGGGCTTCGATCCTCGCCACTGTCGTAGAGACCGCCGCGTCGAGGATGATAGCCGTGATGGGCTCCTTCCCTTTCGTCGCCGTGGGTACGCCTGCGGGCGTTGATGGTGCTGCGCATGTCACGGTTGTGGCCGAGACATTGATGTACCGGGATAGCGAAGCGCTGCCTGTTGCCTAGTGGCGTCTAGTGAACGGACGCGTCCTTGGTGGGACGTACCGAGGGCGTGCGCTGACAGGTGTCGGGTTCGCGTCGTCGAGACAACGAACTCTCGCTGCTTCTGCGCCGCGCACGCCGAGACAACGTCGCGCGAATTATCGACGGTGGCGATCCTCGGACGTCGCGCGGCCGCCGGAAAAGCAGCGCAAAGCAAGGCCGTTCTTTGCTGGCGATGTTCTGGCTCGCCCGAGCGAAGTGAGGGAGAGTCCCATCATCGGTGAGGATCCTCCGATGCACATCACAGGCCGAGGAGCGTGCGTGCCCACCGTCTCCACGACGCTTGATCTCCTCCTCGATGTTTCGGTATTCCCGGACAAGTTGTTGCCCGGCGTCATCGATCTCTAGCTTTCGTGCTCTTAGCTGCTCCATCCTTACATGAGATGGAGCTGCCGTCTCTGCCTCGATCCTGGCGTCGGGGTTGTCTGTTGGGGTTGTCTCCTCTCCGGAGACGCTTTGAACGTCACCCTCGGGGGTTTGTGTCATGAAGCATTCCTGGGAAGGGTGATGGCTCCCCTTGCTGGAGTCAGAGCTGGAGGACGACTCTAGTTCCTCCGTGAGGAGCCCGTAGAGTGTCTCTGGATCATGTTGGATTACCCCTACGAACTCGTTGTTCGTAGGTGGTTGGACCATGCGTATTGCCAGAAGGTGGCCAGCGGTCGTCGTGTCGCGCTCATGCGGAGACCCGAACAGAAGAAGCTTGTTGGCGAGGCGCCTCGACGGGCCTTCCGGAAGCAGGGGTTATCTTTGCGGGGCTCCCTGGATGACCGGGGTCCAAGGGAATTGCCCCACGGGTCCTCAAGCCTCAGACGACTGAGGTTGATGGAAGGGAGAGACTGCGGCCGTGTGGGTCAGCGCCAGTTCTCCTCCTAGTGTGACGATGAAATCTAGGTCGTGAAACGCACATGTGCGCCGGGGCCCGTGTGATTGCGTGGGTGGCCATCCGAGGCCTGATTTGGAACGCGCGCAAAGCCCCTAGCACGGCACGCCAACCGCCGGGTGTTTGCATGACACACGGCAAGTAAATTTATAGTAATGCGTGTTAGGCTCGGATGGTGCGCTAAAGGACACAAGATTTATCTTGGTTCGGGCGAACGTCCCTACGCCCGATTTGTGTTGCTTTCGTGTTATTAGCACCGTGAATGGTTCGTAGTAGGGGGTACAAACGATCGAGAGAGGGACTGGTCTTAAGTCTCTGATGGAAGGGTCGAAAGGAGGTCAAGAGCTTGGTACCCGCTTGACTATGCGTGTCGCCTTGTTTTTTCGTTCCTCTCTCTTTCTGGAGGAGGCGCATCCCCTTGTATAGATGAAGGGGATGGTTTTACAAGGGTCAGTGGCTTAGGATCCGTGCTCTACCTAGCCTCCTTACCCATTCGATGGGTGCGAAAGGAAGATAAGCGCCTACAATCATCTGTCGATGCTTTCAGAGAATGTCGGGATGGTTCTGAGAATAGTGCCTACTGTGCAGGCATGAAATGGAGATCTGATGGTTTTGACTTATGAACCTCGCTTGACCTTGCTCCGCACGCGCCTTCGGCCTATGAATCTCTGTCGTAGGGACGCGGAGTCGAGGTCGGGAGTAGCGCTGTGGGCAAGGTCTGCGATTTGGTGGACCGAGGGGTCGGAAGGAAGCGCCGCTCCTTGGGTCCATAATGTGGTGACGGCATGTCCGTCATTCGTGGAGATTACAAATCCTTTTCTAGAGTGTAGTGGTTGTCGTGTATCTTCATTGGGTCCCGTGTCCCAGAGGCTGAAGGCGGCGCCACAACTCTCTGAGGCGAGGAGTACGCGCCTGCAATACCTTTTGGGCTCTGCGGCGCCCGGGAGGGTCTAAAGCACATGTCCAGTCGTTCCCTGGCAGTACCTTTCCTACCGGGGCGCAGGGTATGGTCCTTGAAGCCATGGTTGACCCGAACGTCTTGTCTTGCACTGTACCTGTCATCATGAGGGGACGGGAGAGAAGTTTATCAGGTAAGATAAAATCAATCTTTGGATATCGATCGGGGCGAGGTTCGTCCTTGGTCGTCGGGCGAGGCAGAGTGTATTCCTTAGCCCTCGGGCGAGACGGAGGCCAGCCCCTTGCCCTCGGGCGAGGCGGGGCTGGCCCAAAGGCATCGGGCGAGACGGAGGCCATCCCTTTGCCCTCGGGGCCTTTTGCCCTCGGGCGAGGCGGGGTTGGTCCAGAGGCGTCGGGCGAGACGAAACCTAACTTTCGTCATTCGGGCAAGGAACGCAGTGGCGCCTTTGTCCGTCCAGAAGTTTTTAACGTTCGATGGTTATTGGTTCCGCCTTCTGGGGTATCCTGGTATTAGGTCCCCGACAATTTTGTTAAGGGATTTGAGTTCAAAGGATGTATTAAACCTTAGTCAAAATCAAGAATTCAGCGATGGATAACTCCTAAGAGGGATATGTGTAGGATAAATGTTGATGTTGTTGTTGATAGAGCTAGTTCTAAAGGGACTGTGGCTGCTATATATCAGAGTAGTAAGGACATTTTATTACAGCCAGTGCTATGGTGGTTCCTAATATAACTAATACTGAAACACTAGAAGCGATGGCTTGTCTGGAGGCACCGGTGCTTGGGAGGAGTCTGTAGACCGATCATAGCAAATGTAATCAATAATATAAAGGAGATGCCTAGTTGCGCTTATATAATGATCCTTCCAGATATTTATCAGACATCTAAATCCTTTGATTGTGTGCGCTTCACACATAAAGAAAGAGAGTTTAATAGGGAGGCTTATTATCTTGCAAAGTATGCATGTTCACTTGAAACTGACCGACATGTTTGGCTTGGTTCCCCTCCTGTGTTCTTTGATGTAAACATTTTGAAATGAAAATATATGCCTACCTTCCTCTAAAAAAAATCCAGGGCAACAGCCACAATGCCCTGGCGGCGGCAACTGATGGAGTGGGAAGCGCGCGGCCAGGCGTTGATGAAGTGGACCCTGGGCTCGCAGGTGCTGACACCTTTCGGCGGAGTGCACAGAGCCGCTTCCATCAGCATTGGGGTCGGGTGAGCAGGCCCACATGAGCGCGAAGTCAACAAGTTGAGCCACGGGCGCCTCGACACGCGTCCCATGCGCCGCGGTAATCCTGCTGCCTGAGCCGCGACAGGGCATGGCGCTGCGCGGCGCCTCGGCATGCGTCGCCAGTGCGGCCGGAATCCTGCAGCCTGAACCGCGACAGGGCATGGCACCGCGCGACGTCAGGATTGGGCACGTCACGTCCCCGACCAGGAACGAGCCCTCGATTCCCGTGCGCGGAAGGCGGGTCCCGAGCCATGGCCCAGCCGCGGCTCGCCCGCGCCGCCGAAACGGGTGGTGCGCGGCCGCGAGCCACCACCGCCGCTGCTGAAACCAGGGTGGAAGCCATTGTAGTTACTGTCGTCACTGTCCTCGTCGTCGCCAATGTCATAGTGATCACCAGAGGACGGCGGCGGGGTGTGCCAGTCCTGGAACTCGATGATCCGGAGGCGGACAAGATAGCGCAGCGCCGGCACCTCGTCGTGGATGATTTCGTGCGGCCGCAGGTACAGCGGCGACCCGCCATCATGCTCCTCCTCCGGCTCAGGCACTGCCATGATCTTTTCATCAGGGATATGAGGTCGGGGTGCGTGCACCAAGCCGCAACGAAGAGTTCGCGCTCGTCGTCAGGATCCTCAAGCGCTTCGGGGTTGGCAATGTCGACCCGAGCACACGACGAGCCGAGGTTAGTCTGGGCGGTCTCCTTCGAGCGAGCATGCTATGGGATTCCCTTCGTGCCCACCAGCACCTGGAAACGGAAGGAGCCGGCTGACGCCATGAACAAGCGACTCCATCTTCGCCACCGCAAAGTGAAGGGCGAACCCGCCGGTGGTGCCGATCCCAGAACGAGTTCCAGATCCTCAACCCGGGAGAATCGGACGATGAAGTCATCCGGCCTTGTACGTCGGACGGAGACCCGGTCCTCCGTGATGCCATAGAAGCGGCCAAGGTGCTCCAGCACCATCGCCGGGGTCACCAGAGGGCGTGTGCCAAGCACCAGCGCAACCAGCGCCATGGAGAGCGCGTCTTCCGCCGCCTGCAGCTCCGGGGTGCGAGGGACGACGACCAACTCAAGGAGCGACGTTCTGGCACGCGACCGAGGTGAGGCTGGCGGCGCCTGGACCCTCCTTAGCGAGGTGGGAATCTGCGAAGGACGTCGAGGTTCTGGAGCATCATGTCCGCCGCCCAAGGCGACGTCGTCGGCCACGGCGCCACTCCCAGAAGGCGCATGAGCGCCCTGCGCGGACGCCTCACCCGCATCAGCGACCGGCTCAACGACCTGGCGACCGATGCCCGCCTCCTCCGCCGCAACGTTGACATGGTGCTCCGGCGTCGGTGGCATGCAGACCGGAGGCACTGAGGGTTCGCGACCAGTGGATGCGGAGTGCGCGGAGGCGGTGTCCGTGGATGACGCGCGGCGACTGGACGAGGCTCGGCGCCGCTGGGCACCCGTTCGATCAAATCCAGACTACTTATTTTGACGTGTTGAGTCGACACAACAATCCACATTGACCGACGAGGACGTGCCTGGTCTCGGGCAGCAGAGTATCCCCGAGAGAGATGGGCATTTTGGTCATCTTGCTCTGGGGAAGGGAAGACATTGAAGACTGAAATGAAAAATCTGCCAGACTTGGTTTGTCTCGTGGAGTCAGGACGCCCAGCCAGCGACGACTCATCATCGAGTCATCTTTACTCCTCGATCTTGCTCGCGGCGGAGGTAGGCCTTCTTCACTTCTTGCCTCAGGCTTCGATTTAATCACAAGTTCACAACATGGAGACAGTGTTAGACAGTTAGAGTATTTCTTGCGCTTGCTGTTATCCTATTCCTATCCCTACTGCTGCCAATCCGTAGCAGGACGGTGCTTTTTAATTTCTTGCACGCTGCTGTCACTTGCGATTCATCAAACACCTTAAGTCAAAATCCAAATCGTGCGTAGCGTAGCTGATCCATGGCAATCTCCCCATGGATACCGGGTTCTGGGAACCAAATCCCGTTCCATTATTATTTGGGGAATTTTTTAGTTTCATCCCAGGGTGTAGCTACACTGTACCACCTCTGGAATTTCCAATTCTGCGCAAATATCAAAATCTGTGCTCATATATTCTTGATTCCTTGGTTGGCATCGGCAACTCAATTTCTTTCTTTCTTCCCCTTATTGTTTTTACAGCCTTTTCTTATTAATCAGACAGCACAACTCTTTTCTTGTAATATAGTTTATCTCACAACCGTTTGATCCTATTTAATGTTACTTAGTACATCTTTAGTAAATTGGGAAATCCATGCCATGTATGTCCAATGCTCCAATCCAATCTATGTATTTACTTCAAATTACTACAGGCCTGCCTGCCAATCTTGTTCAGAAACATGGCAGATACTATCTTGTTGTCCTCAGGAAAGTTGCTCACTTGCTCATTCACTGGGGATGAAACCTTGTACTCTTAATGAGGTCCCTGGTTGGTCTTAAGTCTTCACACATAAGCCCTGTTCATACCCTTATTCTTGAAATCTCTGCTTGTTGACCTGATCATAGCACAGCTGTTTTCTTAAGTCTCAGCTATTTGATGTTCCTTTCATTTGGAACAAATCCATATGATGCTTTGGATAATCTGCCATTTATTAATTTCATATTTTAACAGCTGTACTTGAATCTTGTTCAGGTATATATTTGTATTATCACAAGGAATTTAGACATGGCAGTGTCCTATTTGTAGTTCTTAGGAAACTTGCAGATTCCCTGGGAGAACGGGCACTAGAGAGGATTAGCACAGAGCTGGTTGAAGCAGCACCTGTTTTGACAGATTATGAGCATAGCATGAAGCAAATTGAGGCCGAGCTATTGATTATGCAGGCTTTTATTGCTCAGGCTGGGGCAAAAGTCGGTGATAAGGCATTCGATGCTTGGGTGGACCAAGTGAGAGATGTTGCCCATGAGGTAGAAGACACCATTGATGAGTATGCTTACCTTGCGGTTCAAGCCGTGGATACTGGCAGCTTCTTTAAGAGGAAGTTCCGTCAGATAAAAAGGTTCGCAGCATGGCAGAAGTTTCATAGCCAGATCAGTCAAGTAGAAGCTCGAATTCAGAGGCTAGGCGAAATTAGGAATCGATATGGCATCTTGGCAGGTGAAATAGACAGGAGTAACAAATTGAGGAACCCCAATCAGCTCTTTATGTCAGATTCTTCTTACTTAACTGATAGCTCTGAAATAATGGGGCATGTTGATGAAATTGGAAGATTAACACAATGGTTACTTGAGGACAAACAAGTGCGAACTCTCATTGCCATCTTTGGTATGGGAGGTTTAGGAAAAACTACTATTGCAAGCAGTGTGTACAAGAATCAAAATATCACAAGAACTTTCAACTGTATCTCAGACTTATCAAATTGAAGAACTACTAAGAGAAATCATAAATCAGCTAATAGATCAGAGAGCAAGCATGGCAAGTGGTTTCATGACCATGAACCACATGAGACTAGTTGAGGTAATACAAAGCTATTTGCTAGACAAAAAATATTTCATTGTCTTGGATGATGTATGGGATAAAGATGCATGGTTATTTCTAAACTATGCGTTTACCAGAAACAACTGTGGAAGCAAAGTGCTGATAACTACTCAGAGAAAGGACGTATCTTCTTTGGCAGTAGATCACTATACAATTGAACTTAAAACTCTTCAACATGCTGAATCCTGGGAGGTTTTCTGTAAAAAGGCATTTCGTGCATCGAAAGATAGCCAATGTCCTGAAAACCTTAGGTTTTTTGCAGAGAAAATTTTTGCTAGGTGTCAGGGATTGCCACTGGCTATTGTAATCATTGGAAGTACTATCATATCGTGAATTCGAGGAGCAGGGGTGGGAGTCTTTCTACAGCCAACTTAGCTGGCAATTAGCTAACAATCCAGAACTGAATTGGATTTCTAATGTTCTGAATATGAGCTTGAATGATCTCCCAAGTTATCTGAGGAGCTGCTTTCTGTACTGCAGTCTCTATCACGTATATCATTGTTCCGAAGAAGGGATCGAGTTCGGAACGATGATATACGTGATAGATTAGGGGTAGCACCAATTGAAGAAAAGCTTGTCCAACACCGGTTGAGATGGTTTGGACATGTCCAACGGAGACCTCCAGAGACACCGGTGCGTAGTGGAATCCTAAGCCAGGATATTAACGTGAAGAGAGGCGGAGGAAGACCGAAGTTGACTTGGGTAGAGGCAATAAAAGGAGACTTGAAAGGATGGAATATACCCAAAGACTTAGCCTTAGATAGGAGTGTTTGGAAGACAGCTATTCACGTGCTTGAACCTTGATTGCTTCTGCTGGGTTTTAACTCTAGCCTACCCCAACTTGTTTGGGACTTAAAGGCTTTGTTGTTGTTGTTGTTGTTGATTTCTAAGCTATGGATAGCAGAAGATTTAGTGGAAGATAGAGAAGATGGAACAACAATGGAGGAGGTTGCCAATTATTACCTTGTGGAGCTCACTCAACGTTGTCTTTTTCGAGTCACAGAAAGTAATGCATATGGAAGGCCTAGAACATTTGTTATGCATGATCTTGTGCGAGAAGTAACCTCCATCATTGCTAAAAAGGAGAAGTTTGGTATTGCATATGGCGATGCTAGTACAACCCAAGTTCCCCATGAAGTCCGCCGCTTATGCATACAAAGAGGTGCCCAGACCTTGAATTCTATAGCTAGTTCACGGCTCCGCTCATTTATCACTGAAGTACCATGCTCTTGGATAGATGATATTTTATCACGTTTCAGACTACTGAGGGTCCTATGCCTAAGATTTGCAAATATTGGACAAGTGCCTAGCATGGTCACCGAATTGTATAACTTGCGCTATATTGATTTTTCATACACAAAAGTGAAGATAATACCAGCATCATTCGGTAAACTTGTTAACCTACAAGTTTTGGATCTCAGATTCACCTACGTAGAGGAGTTGCCACTGGAAATAACTATGTTAACTAATTTACGGCATTTACAGGTGTTTGTAGTGCATGATCTTCTACAAATATCATTGAATTGCTTTAGTGCTACAAAAATTCCTGGTAACATTTGCCTTCTAAAGAATCTGCAAGCTTTACAGATTGTTTCAGCCAGTAAAGATTTAGTTTCACAACTGGGTAACTTGACGCTGTTGAGAAGTTTGGGTATAATGAAAATGCGTCAAAGCTACATTGCAGAGTTATGGAGCTCCCTGATGAAGATGCCTAACTTGAGCAGGTTGCTTATTTCCGCAGTTGATATGGATGAGATTCTTGACTTGAAAATGCTCAAGCCCTAACCCAATCTGAAGTTTCTCTGGCTCGCTGGAAAGTTGGATGCAGGTGTTCTTCCATCAATGTTTTCCAATTTTGAGAAATTAGCATGGTTAAAGATGAACTGGTCTGGTCTTAAGAAGGATCCTATTATCTCCTTCTCTCTCATGTTAAAGCTAGTTCATTTGAGGCTGTATGGGACATATGGTGGGGAACAGCTGGCCTTTCGTGCAGGGTGGTTCCCTAAGCTTATTTCTCTGGAATTAGGTGACATGGAACATCTGGATTGGATTGAGATAGAGGACGGGACAATGATAGGTCTACATCATCTGGAGCTTGTTGGGCTAGGGAATGTAAAGGCAGTACCTGCGGGCATCCAGTACCTTAGGACACTCCACCAAATATTTCTGACAGATATGTCAAACGGATTCATACAAAGACTGCAAGGAAGTGACAATTACATTGTCCAACATATACCTAACATCCATATTTTTTACTACTATGATTCTCAAGCAGGTAATTTTCATGTTCTCTGCCAGTTACTTGGTGAAACAAGTAGTTTAGTGGTCATAAGATATTTTCATAAATTTAAAGATCAAATCTAAATAGGTAACTAAGAAATACAGTAGTATCTACAAAAGCAACGGTCTGAAAAGCTTATCGATAAGCCGGATCAAAACATTCTGTTAATATGTCTTCTATCATTTACGCAGCAAAGTAAAACTGTGCAGATTGATATTGCAGTAAATAACCTGCATCGTGTGCCGTGGCTTGTGAAGAAGTATGGTCCTGGTGCAGCTAAGCATGCCTCATCTGGCACATGGCACTTGAGTGCCAGCTTGCTGTGGGAAATATGTAATTTCTTTGCGAACAACTATTTTATTTCACGAGTGAAATATGCACTTCATCATCATTGTGTGTGTGTGCGCACACGTAGGGTGTGCCTCATATACGGGTTTCAATATGTCCTGCCTACTATAATTATTTGTTCTTGTCGAGAAAGATATGTTTAAATAGCTGCTTAAATAAGCAGCCAATACTTGAGGGCTGAGTGTAGTTTTTCAATCTCATGGTTTCTGGGCCTTGGGCTGTTCTCCTTTTTTTGCGAGTGGGCCTTGGGCTGTTCAGTTGAATGTGTAACTTGCCCTACCTGCTGGGCAAAACAGGCCGGAATGCTAATGAGTGGATATGTTGTATGATTAACAATTTTTTAATAAGTTGATTCATATTCACAAAAATAGATGATTTTGAACTGGTATTATTTTTCTAGTTAGATAAAGTAGAAATAAAATATTTCTGCATATTAAATAAAGTAACTATATTTTGCACACTAATATTACTTGAGAGAAAAGGCATGATATCAATAGACATTTCTTTAATACATATATGTATGGTTATCATATTATCAATTCAAAGGATGCGTTGCGCTGCATTGTTTCTACTTTCTAAATATAAGCTATTACTGTATATTCGACATAAATGGCTAGTACGTGAAAACTACAGAGGTACAAATGGGATTTGAAACGGACGTTCGAGAAGAGAGATTCAAGGAGGAGACGTAGGCTGCTGTACATATTTTGATGTCCTTTTCTTATAGTTTCTTTGGTTTTTCTTTCTCCCTTTTGTTCCATTAACTTTGTGCTTCAATTTTACCCTACTATAATGCAAAGGCAGAGCACCTGCCATTTATCCTCAAAAAAAAAAAGAAGAGAGAGATTTGCATATAAAAAATGTGAAAATCAAGATACTAGACAAACCGTAGCCCCGTAGCGCAGAATGGGTCAACAGCGGTGGCATGCAGTGCAGCCCACATCACGACCAACTACAATGGCAATGCAGCCCAGGGTGAACATTGGGCCAGGCCGCCATACCACACGCGCAGGAGTCGTGCGCTCAACGCGGAGCGTGACGGACCATTAGAGTTTGCGATTTTGCTAAAAAAAAAGAGTTTGCGATTCTTTCTCCAAAAAAAAGGTTTGCAATTTCCTCAATAAAAGAAAAATAGAGTTTGCGATGAATGAATGTTGTTGACCGTTTTGGCGTGAAGAAAGTTGAGTTGACACATATATATCCTCGACAGTGCCCGTGTCCGGATGTCCGCGCCTGCACCTGTTCATGTGCTACACTCCACGTACCGCCTAACTCCACACGATGTCTGTGCCCCACCTGTCCCGACGCAGCGTTTACGTCCCCCGCCCGACTCCTCGCTCCCACTCTAGCTACTGCAGCAGTCGGGTCACATTGCAACATGCGTAACACCTGATCTACTTTTGAAACATTTAGATGCAGCACTTGCAACAGACATCTGAAGACAGATAAAACACTTGAAACATGCATCTGAAACACTTGCACAAAACACCTGAAACACTTAAAAACTATTGCAAACATATGCAACATCCAGATAAAACACTTGCAACATACGTGTGAAACATATGCAACATCCAGGAAAACATATTTGCAACATACGTCTGAGAAACAAATGAAACATTTGGAACAGATGTTTGAAACATACAGGTACAATCATTGCAGCATATACAATATCTTGATCTACTTTTGTAACATCCAGATAAAACACTTGCAACATGCGTGTCGGGTATCGATATTAGGGATACACGGAGGAAGGAAGTTAACGGCCATGAACGTTAATTCGCCCGGATAGTCCAAGATGTATTTAAGGTATCGTCCGCCCGACGAGAATCCATACCGCCTCTAACCACTACGGGTCTAACAGTACGACCCTAGGGTCAAACTTCTGACACTGAAAGGGAAGCGGGCATATCTCGATGTGACCCATGGCCACGACAGGCCACGCCCGGGGGTTCGCATCTCCAACAGTGATGGGTGCGTAGGCGTTGTGCTGCCTAATCTCCGTACGGCCGCTGACAGGCACGTTGGTTCATCACGGCGTCCGCCGAGACGGGATGGGATGCCATGACCAGCTGATGACGTCGAGGCATGGCACCAGTGGTGAACAGGAGCCTGACGTGGAGCCGTCCCCATCACCATCTACAGCGTAAGTGGGACCCGCATGAAGAAGAAGAAGGACGTGGTGGTCCTAGATGGCTTCTTCTCCTCGATTTTCTCCCTCTTTCTCTCCCTCTCTTCTGTCTTTCTGATGTAACCTGCATCTTCCCATTCTTCTATAAAAGGGGAACACAACGCAACACAAGTGGAGAGAGAGGCACGAGCACACGGTTGAACAAGCTCAACAAGACTCAACTCCGTTCGGTCTTTTCACCAGAGACTTGGGACCTTCTCCCTCTCTCGCCTGTTTGTAACCCCTACTACAAACTAGTGCCGGTAACACGAGCAGCAGCAAATTGGACGTAGGGACATTTCGCACGAACCAATATAAATGCTTGTGTCCTCCGAGCACACCATCCGGTCCAGACGCGCAATCTAGAAATTTACTAGCCGGTGATCCAAAACAATGATAGTTGGCATGCTAGGTAGGGGATTTTTGCTCATCTCAACGTCCACATTAGTCCTCAGATGGCTAGTCACGGCGTCAGCTAGGTCCCGAGTGCACACGTGCGCTTCGGGAGCCTAGACTTCATCGTCACGATGGAGGGAGAATTGGCGCAGGCTCCCACCACCGTCCAGCCTCTCCACTCCGTCGGCCTTGACGCGATCGTCGAGGCGCTTGAGGAGCTGCAGCTGCATGTGCTGGAGGCCCGTGTCCTCAGGAGCGACTGGCTCCTCGGCTTCGACTATGGGAGGCTAGAGCGCCCACTCGTCGCCTTCTTGGGACCCCGACCATCCCGAGAGGAGCTGCGCTGTCTTACTTTCTCCTTCGCCAACGCCATGATGCAACTCACCGGAGGGGAACCGCTCTCCCCGAAACACCTCACCCGAGGTGCCCCGGCAGCGTTCCCGTTCAGTCTGCACAATGCTACGGGGACCGTTGGCCACCTCGTGGCGCAGCGCATGCGCCCATCCCCTACGAACGATGAGTTCATGGGGATGATCGAATACGTCACGGAATCTTTCCACGACGTTCTCGTGGGAGATTCAGAGTCGCTCTCCAACTCTGACTCCAGCAGGGGGAGCCATCACCCCTCACGAGAATGTTTTATGGTAGGTACCCTCGAGGGACGCGTCGAAAGCGTACACGAGGGAGGGGCTACCCCACCAAACGACCTCGACGACGAGGTCGAGGAAGATGCAGGGGGCCTTCGTCGCATGCGGGTGGAACAGCAAAGGGCGCGGCACCAGGAGCTCGAGGATGTATGACTCCAACTCGAGCAGGAGCGCACAGAGCTCAAGCGAGAGATCGAGCGCCGCGGAGATGGTGGGCGTGAGCATGCCATGGACCGCGACGTGAACCGAAGGATCATCGAAGATGATGGACCCTCCTACACTTCGCCTGGGCAAGCCAGAACATCACTGTCGTGATGGCCTTGCTCTAAGGGCTCCTAGAGCCTGTGACACCCGAGGATTGTCAGGCCCATCATGAGATCTGCACGCTACTCGAGCATGCGGCGATGCAGCAGGCGGGGAGCTCACTGTCTTAGTGACACGAGCTCGACTCCAGTCAGCCCGTGCCCTCGGGACAACATGTCAGGGACGTGTCTGTCCACCAGGCGTCGCGCGGCGGCGGGGGGCGCGCCATGGCCCTGGTGCATGAGCGTCTCGACCTCCACCGTGATGCACGTAACACCCTGGATGCCCGTAGGTGTGGACGAAGCAACAAGAGAGAGGAAGCCAGTCGTGGCTACCACCCTCGTCACGGTGAACTCTATGATAATGACAAGGACCGGAGCCTAAGCCCCGACCTGCCAGGACCTTGGGCCTTCAGCCAACACATCCTTAACGCCGCCTTCCTACCGCAGTACTTACCGTCGACCAATATCCCGAAATACTCTAGGGAAACGAACCCTGGAGCGGATAGTGATAGTTTCATTATCCGCAACCTCCCATTGTTCCTGGCCGATTCGACGCGAGCGTGGTTAGAGCACCTTCCACCCAACCGGATTCAAAGTTGGGCGAACCTAAAGGAGATTTTCGTGGGAAACTTCTAGGGCAC